TCCTGGAATGTTTTCCTCAAAAACCTTAATTCCTTTTCGACTGAAGACAGACAGACATGATCTCGGATGACATGAGGGCGAGTAAATTATCAGGAAATTGTAATTCTGGAGTGAACTACTCCTTTAAGAAAATACATACAATAAATATATCATGTTTATAATTTGTGTACAAATGTCCCGTTTCTCACATTCTTCATAAAGTAAAGGGTGACGCACAAAAATATCAGTTGTGTTGTTAGTATTAAATGATATGCAATGTGATAAACGTACTGAAACATACTCAAAACCTCCAAAAAGCCTCTGTGGCTTTTGGGTTTGTGAAGCTCTGTTCTCTGTAAAGTTACTGTGGAGCAATATGTGCTATATACAAAAATGTAAATTAACTGGACCTAATTGGAAATTTATTAAGCAGTACTTTAATGATACGTGCACTGCAAATGGTTTTTGCGTATTTTAATACAACTTTATAACCTCAGATAGGGACTTTAAAGTGACTCAGCATTAGTATTGTGTTGAAATAATAATAATTGGTGTGTAATCTTATTTTTAAAAAAGCTACAATGTCCTCTTTATGATTTACCTGCACAGCACCAGCTGGCCTCTGTTTCACATCTACGCTGAAATGCAGCATTTGCTTGGATATATGAATATAACATATAATGTACTTATTTTTTTAAGTGTGTATGTAATGTATTATGTATGGAAGCCCGATTCCGCCACTGAATCAAAAATAAAAAAGGTAATTGCGACTTTTTATCTCACAATTCTGACTTTTTTCACAAGTTTTTCATGTGTATCATTACATTATTCAAGTAAGCTCCAAGCAATACCTGCATTTAAAGTTGTAATCTGACAAAGGACGCAGCAAACCAGTGTAACTTACCTGGCCTCGGTCTTGGCTAAGCCTGAGGTACATCACTCAGGAAATTGTAATTCTGGAGTGAACTACTCCTTTAAGAAAATACATACAATAAATATATCATGTTTATAATTTGTGTACAAATGTCCCGTTTCTCACATTCTTCATAAAGTAAAGGGTGACGCACAAAAATATCAGTTGTGTTGTTAGTATTAAATGATATGCAATGTGATAAACGTACTGAAACATACTCAAAACCTCCAAAAAGCCTCTGTGGCTTTTGGGTTTGTGAAGCTCTGTTCTCTGTAAAGTTACTGTGGAGCAATATGTGCTATATACAAAAATGTAAATTAACTGGACCTAATTGGAAATTTATTAAGCAGTACTTTAATGATACGTGCACTGCAAATGGTTTTTGCGTATTTTAATACAACTTTATAACCTCAGATAGGGACTTTAAAGTGACTCAGCATTAGTATTGTGTTGAAATAATAATAATTGGTGTGTAATCTTATTTTTAAAAAAGCTACAATGTCCTCTTTATGATTTACCTGCACAGCACCAGCTGGCCTCTGTTTCACATCTACGCTGAAATGCAGCATTTGCTTGGATATATGAATATAACATATAATGTACTTATTTTTTTAAGTGTGTATGTAATGTATTATGTATGGAAGCCCGATTCCGCCACTGAATCAAAAATAAAAAAGGTAATTGCGACTTTTTATCTCACAATTCTGACTTTTTTCACATAATTGCGTGATATAAAAAGTCATAATTGTGATATAAGCTTGCAATTCTGAGAAATAAAGTCAAAATTGTAAGAAAAAAAAGTCAGAATTGCGAGTTTTTATCACGCAATTATGAGGGAAAAAAGTCGCAATTACCTTTTTTATTTTTTATTCAGTGGATCGGGCTTCCATATATCAAGTCGCTAATATGAGAATGTATAGTGTGATGTATTTAGTGTGTCAGATTGTCATTGAGTCCAGCAGAGGGCGCTTAAATCATAGTTTCAGTTTGAAGGTGAAGTGTGTGTGTGAGAGAGTGTGTGTGAGAGTGTGTGTGTGTGTGTGTGTGTGTGAGAGAGAGTGTGAGTGAGAGAGAGAGTGTGTGTAAGTGTGAGTGTGTAAGTGAGTGTGTGAGTGTGTGTGTGTGAGAGAGAGAGAGTGTGTGTGTGTGTATTTTGTAGTTTTTCATGTGTATCATTACATTATTCAAGTAAGCTCCAAGCAATACCTGCATTTAAAGTTGTAATCTGACAAAGGACGCAGCAAACCAGTGTAACTTACCTGGCCGCGGTCTTGGCTAAACCTGAGGTACATCACCGTCTCCGCCATTATTATGACGCAAAACAAAAATGAGCAATCCTGGCTGCACCTATCCTGCGGGACGCAGCTCTCCTCTCGCACCGTTGCTATGCGACAGGAGGTGATGAGGAACACTGGTGGCGGAGCGTCTCATGCACTTCGGAGTCCGCACACTCCACATTGGGACACAGCTATCTTCTAATACAATTTTCAAGTTGAAACATAAAGATGAGATATGGTATATAATTCCAAATCTTATTTTTGAAAAAGTTGGAGGCATAAAGTTTCTTTTGAGGTGTGATTTTGAGGTCAACAAACTCCCCACTAAGTTATCTAATTTCCATAGACAGCCTCTTTTATATTGGATTCTTACATACAAACATAATTTCTCTCCCCATAGGCAGATCATCTGGAATAATAAATATCTTAAATATAAGAACAAATCAGTTTTCTATACTAATTGGGTTAAAAATGGTATTCTAATGGTCTCACAGTTGATAAATAATAAAGGATATTTACTTACATATACTGCATTTTTAGAGAAATGTGGTATTCAATACCTCCGCGTGAACATCGCAACTATGGACAGCTCAAAGAACTAAACTCCTCTTTTCTATCGTGATTATTGATGTATACCCTCCTTTATTATTTATTTATTTTTCTTTCCCTTTTCTTTTTTTCTTCTTCTTTTTTTTCTTCCAGAAAACCATGTTTGTAACCTTTTGTTATACTTTTGAATGTTAATTGTTCAGCATATACAATAAAAAATAAAAATAAAGTTATTTTTGTTGCCGAAATAGAGCAAAAACAGGCAATATGGTGTATAAAACTTACGTTTTCTAATTAACTATTAGTTTATTGAACTGTATATTAATATCACATAATTTTGATATCACATTTGAAATCATGTTGATTTTTGAAGAAAAGAAACGACATATATATTGTTGTCATATTGCACTAAATGTTCCACATCAGTAAATATGTTTATGTAACTTTTTATATGTTATTCTTTATTTTGTATTATGTATCTTACTGTTGTATTTGTACATGTGAACTAGAAACCAGGGTTATTATAGTACATTAAAACTAAAACTCTAAAAATATTTTATTAATTGAAATAAAACAAAACATAAAACAACTTAAGCTTATTTTATTTCAGTAGGTTTCCAAGGCAACATTTCGCATTCTCATTTAGTTTAACTTACCGTACACAAATAACTAAAACTGAAATAAAACTATATAGACATACTTAAAAACAACAAAATGTCAAAACACAACGAAATTACTAACACATGAAAGTAGAAAATATAAAAATAAAATGTAATTCAAAATATTAACAAAAACTATACTATCTCAGTGATACTAAAAAACACTGTAAGAAAAATTTGTGTATGCAAGCAAACTTGGTAGTATTATTATATTATATTATATTATAATGTGCCGTATGTGTAACCGTACAATCGTTCGTCCAATCAGAGGCGTCGCTCGGCGGCACGTGACCAGCGGCGGAAGCGCTGGTACAGTATCCGTGGTCACATGAGCGCCGGTCACGTGACGTCTGTGAGCCGCTGCCCTTGGAAACAGTTTCATCATCACACTCATCATCTCAGGAAATAAGAGCTGTGGCGCAGATCTGAGCGTGTTTGTGTTTTAGGAGGAGGAGGAGGAGGAGGAGGATGGACAGACAGCAGGAGGAAGATGAGGAGGACACCGGTGAGCGGAGCACTGAGCACTGAAACACTGTAAAGACCAAATATCACATTCATCAAAGCTAGTTCACTAATAAAAACACACCTTTATGGTTTTGTTGACTGAAGTAAGGCTGTACACAGACGAATAGTTGGTGAGCTTTACAAATAATTTAGCCTATTTGATATTTTTACATCCAACTGCACCCTTATTCGGTTTTTTATATTAGAATTATTTATTTATTTAGATTTATTTATTTATTTTCTATTCGTTTTCATTTTTCTGTTTTATTTTTGTATGCATAAACAACTGTATATTGAATATTTGATCTGAGTGAAAGTGCATGTGTGCTGCTCATGTTTGCAGTGTGCTGTGTGATGGAGGACGTCATGTGTGTGGACGAACATCCGGTCGAGCGTCTGACCGACGGCTTCCTGTCTCACTATCTGCCAGAACTGTGCTGCTCCAAACGAGCGCTGCAGGAGCTGACGTACGACACACACACACACACATACACATACACGCTCACACTCACACACACTCTCTCACACACACACACACACACACACTCACACACACTCTCTCACAC